GCACGAGGGTGGGGAGGATCCGATCCAAGTAAGCTCCAACGGTGTCATCGTCGTGGTCAAATCCCTCGTCGAAGAATGGAGATTGTAGGATGTTGATATTACCGTAGGCATCGAACACAAGTCCCCATTCAAATTCCGGATCCGCGATACATCCCTTGCATGTAGATGAGAGAGCAAGGTGAGAGAACCCAAGAGAAGAGGGCTCGGGTGAGGGGAAGAGAGAGGGGGTCGGGTGGGCTAAGGGGAATTGGAAAAATTAGAATTCTGACTTGGAATTCTAATTAGATGTAAAGTGAAAGTTGATTTGGAAATTCAAATTATTTTCCAAAGGAGGGGGCCGGCGGTTTATGAGGAGTAGGGAGTTTAATGGCGGGCGATTAATGTAATGGAGAGAGAAAAACCCAAGAGAGGGGGTTTCGGCCAAGCATAGAGGGGAAGAGGGAATTAATATTAATTAAGTGGGGCCATGGTAGAGTAAATAAATCCTAATCAAATCTGAAATTGTAATTTTAGATTTAATTGAGGATTAAGTAACTTCCCAAATTGATTTGAAATGACAGGGAAATAGAATTCGAATTTCAAATATAGCTAAATGTTGTTAACTGCCTTGCCTTAATAGGGGTTCTTAATTAGGCAATCAATTAAAGCATAGGGATTTGAAATTCAAATGGGCTTGGGCAAAAGGGAGATCCGGCGGCAAGGCGGGGCTTCAGGGAAACGGTGGGCTGGGGGCTCACGGCTTGGCTGTCAACCGTGAGGTTGGGAGCGGCAGAGGGGGTGGCTGCACGGGGAGGAGAGCACAGGGCCGGCGGCCAAAGGCCTGGAGGGTGGGCTGGCTGGCGGGAGGAGGCAGCCAGGTGGCCGGCGGCTTGGGAGGCTTAGGAGTAGGCGGCGGCAATGGCAAGGGAAATCAGAGAGGAAAATTTCTAGGATTCGATCGGCTCCGAATTTACTAACCATCAATGTCTTCAACCCGGATTTCCACACAATTAATTTGGACGACGCTAGAACTCATAAAGAGATCTAGTTTCCCCTACGAACTCACTAAGAGATCTAAGAAGAATGCACTCAAAAAGAGAACAAAGAGCAAATTTTCATTTCATTAAAACTAAAAACTATTACAATGCATGATGCCTCATATAAGGAGGCCAAAATAAACATAATTGAAATGACATAAACGCCCTCAGGGCTACATAAGTGAAATAATGCCCTCAAGGGCAAACTAGGAAAACAAAAGAAAATACACTCATAACATAAGATGCAAATAAATCAGAAATAGAGACTCTGGATCGTAGTCGTCAATCTACGTCTCCTGGGATGGTACACGTGTCGAAATATGATGTCCCCATCAATCAATTTACTACGATTTACAGAAATCCTAGAGATGAATGCATGAAAGAGGGTTCGCTATTGCTTGTATGAATGTTTTGGATTTGGTAGAAGAGAAGATTAATTTCCTAATGCCTTCGGAGAGTATTCCTAAATCAATTTTTTTTATATGATTTAGAAATTTGGAAGCTTGTATTGATCACGTTAATTTGTAAATAAAAAAAAAATAAGCTTAAGTAATCTCGAAATGTGATGGGTATTAATCATGGGCCTTTAGGGTCCATGAAACACTCCAAATTAATTTCACTGACACTTAAAATTAAATGAGCCAATTTAGGCGAAAATTGTAAATTAAGAGACTTGCTAATCTTAGTAAAAGATCTATGGCACATGACTTGATTCAAGATATGATAGGAAACATGCATCTAAAGCTTTTAAGTGATCAAATTAATTTTGGCATGATTTGATTCATTAAAAGCGTTGAGATGAATTTCCAATCTTAGAGAATTTGCATAATATAGTAATTAATCATTATTATTTTCCTCATAGACTATATAGCATACCAAATGATGAGTATGACTAACATTACTTGCTCTAAGATTTACAAAATGAACTTTTGGGGGTTTACATAAGATCCTACAACAAGTCATCAAATGCATTTTGGATATATAGTCAAGCTATGACAAAACTCACAGGCTTTACCAAACTCCTAAATCACATGTCAATTTTGTCATGACACTTGCATTAAGTAGGAATGTATATGACATGGAATTTTTTGGAGGACATGCAAGCTAAACTTTCAATTTGATTTTGAATAACAACACAACCTAGGGTTTGATCATAGGTGAAGGTGTTAAGCTCAACATGATGCACAAACCTGCATTTGGAGAGCATTGGATACTAATCCAACACCCCCACACGTATCGACGTGGCCTCTTTGGCTCTCACAAGAGAGAAAGCAAACGAAAATCACTAGATTTCTGCTGTTTTACGGAGAGGACAACAAACATGGGTTTTGTAGAGCACAAATTAAGCTACTACAAGGCCCTAAGGTTTTGGGAGTATCAACAACACAACCATTGGCTTTGAGAAGCTAGGGCTCAAAAAGTTTTGAGAAATTTACCTTGCCGGGTTGTCACGACGCAGCCCACAATCCACTCGTCTTGTCAAAAAGTGAGATAGCGACGGAACAAAGTGGATATCTTCTGTCCAAGCTCCTCCGGAAGACAAATCTGCCGTCAAGATGCTCCAAACTGCTGTCTAGAACGTCATAGATGCTGTCCTTGCTGTCTTGAGGTTGCCGACATTAGTTTGAGAGTGAAAGGAAACTCCTAACCCTTCCTAGATGCAGGAATGAAGGTTTGGACTGCTGGATTTGGCCCAGACACACATAGGAATGAGTCCAAATGAGATTTTCTTTTTGATATGGATGGTCTGGATGTGTGAGGATAATTAAGGATGTCACCAGACTTCGCCTAGGTCGAGCGACAACAAGAGAGCCGCAGCTCTGGCTCTTTTCACGGACGCGGGAGGCCCGGTCGGTTTCCCCTTCTGCTCGGGCTGGACAAACACACGCAGAGCTGAAGGGCTCTGCCCTCTTTTCCTGGGACAAAAGCATGAGCATGGCAGAAGGATTCCGCCTCCGCCACACTCCCTCTCACGTTCTCTTTTTTATGGTTCGGACGAATCCCACAAGAAAAAGGGAGAGTGGCCCTTTCTTCCTCTCCCACCCTCTTGGTCTCTTGCGGAACGAGAGAAGATCCCACTCGAGTGGATTTTCTGCAGAAGCAGTCTGCAAGAGCAGCTGAAATCAAACGATTTGACCGAAAACAAAGCGGGATTTCAAAGGAAATCTGAGATGTTTAATTCAAATATTGATTTGGAAAGTGAATTGAATCATGATTTGACAAATTGGAGTGAAATTGGGTCAAAATTGGACCCAATTCGAATCGATTAGAGTCGATTCGAGTCCAAATAGGTTCGATCGAGCCAATTTTGAGAAATTGGGCTCAAATCGGCATCGAATTGCGTCAAATTTGGTTAGACGGGGCTTGACAAGGTTTAATTGGGTTTGATTTAAACTGATTTTTGGTCGATTCGACCGATCTGATTTTAATTCGATGAAATTAAATTTAATTTCAACAAATTTGGGTCTGATTTAGGTTACTTGATGCTCGACGACGGTCGATTGAGTCGATCGAGCCCAATCGGGCTCGAATCGACTTGATCCGGGTTGAGTAAACTTGAAAATATACGTCAATAATGAGCTAACCAGAGGGCCAATATAAGGCTTTAGTGTGGGTTATTTGGGTTATCCAAAATATGCTTGATGCTTTCCAGAATGGATGACAATTATTTTACACGCCTTATTATCAAAATTTGTGCATAAAATAACTAAAAAAAATGACATTAGGCCCACCTAACCAACCTGCAAAAGCATAGGTCGGTTGGCCATTGATGTTGCCCTCGCCTATGTTTAGGGATCCTGATCCTCTTCTGGTGATGGTCATTTGGACTTTTGTGTGACTGATTAACTTTGAAAGTTCTAACGAGGTGGGATGCTTCCATAGTAAAATTCAACAAAAATAGGTGCTATTTCTTGCAAAGAAAGATGTAGAACTATTCCTAGTCTTGAAGGACCATTCGGAAACAAACTGCTCATGATATTGTAGAATATAAGGTACACAGTCATTCCTAGAAAATTTTGGGGTTTTGATCAATTGCAGTCAAATGAGGTAGCCAATGTGCTCATTATCAGCGTCAGATTCAAAAGGTGGTTTTCCAGGTCCCTCTATGCCCAGCAAAGATAACACATGTTGTCCATGCCACCCCATTCCTCCTCATGCAAATGATAGACCCATGCAAGGAGCGAGATATCCAATCCAAGATAAGTAAATCTGGTCTGGTTCAAAACTAGTTTTGGTCAATTCACACCTTATTTGAAAATTTGGTCATGCTGATTCAGGCAACTTGGGACTTTGTTTGACATTTCAATTTGTACCTAACCAATTTGAGCATCTTCAGGCAATTGTTAGATCAAACCGGTAAATTAGCCTCCAGTTCAGCTTTTTTTTTTTTCAAGATTTCGTTTTGCATAAAAAAATTGTGCTTGATCAGGTAAGGCTTCTTAATGAACCCTGCAATCCCTTTACCTTGTAAACTTTTTCAGGATTTGAACTTTCTTATATCCATCTTTTATCATTTCATACTTCATGTATGGTAGCCAGGAGTCATAGCATGATAGATGAGTTTCAAAATGATTCAATCAACATTTAAATCTTTTAAGTTCCATTGACAGAACCGACCAGAATCACTATACCAGCTTCATTCTCTAGCTGTTATTCCGTAGCCATCAGCACAAATTTAGCAGACCGAAATCAACGCAGGCTGTAGTCAATATTACAGTCCATCTCAAACAGAACTCTATCAGCTACCCGAATGAGACATATAGATCAGGATAAAAGATTGTGAATGAATCAAGTACCACTAGCAACAATGTAGCTGTTCGCAACACAAAGGACAAGAAACACAATGTAAAGCATGCATCATACTTCTTCAAACAAATAGAAGATATAAATCTATAACTAACAGTGGTTAAATCATGCAGCATATCTACACAAGCAATTTATGTTCTACGTATCTATTTTTTTATCAAACAACTCATTTCTTACCAGGATCTGAATCGTCATCATTTTGGCTAGTGAAAAATGGAGTAAGATACTTCCTATCTAAAGTAGAAAATGAAGCCGCACTGCAACATAAATAAAAAAAGCCAATTAACCGAATAGAAATCATAGAAAGAGCAAATCCAATGTAATTGAAACCTGGTAACCATACTTTCTATGTAGTTCTTGAAGCCTCATCTTCAGCCTACTTCCGGATGACGCTCCCTCTTCATAAGAGGAGGTAATGTGGCCATTGTTTGTCGGAAAGCCCTGTGGGTTAGTAACAGAGACAAATTTAGGCAGGTAAATAGCAGTTAAAAAGGTTTAACTATTCTAGAACTTGTAGTTCAATTTGGCTTAGAAAGAATACTGGGCATTCAGGCAGGACAAACACAAAAATAAAATGTACATTTAATTTATGAGTTCTGAATAACGACAAGAAGTTTGCAAGCCAGAACAGCTTAAGGATGGATAATTTCTCCTGCCAACTATGGGAGCTAGGTAAGGGTCTGGAGGAGAGTTTCATTATGCTCAAAACTTCTTTTATGTTAAAAAAAAAACAAAAAACAAACACAAGGGCACACGTACAATAAGTTGCGGAATAAAAAGATGGGAATCAGTTACACGTGTTAAAATGAAGTAATTAATGTTCCTCAGGTATAATTTTTTTTAAGGGATTTGCTAATAAAATCGACAAAAAATAGCCAATTGATGGCCGAATTCAAAAGAATAATAAAACTACTTTTTTTGCATCCAAAGAACAAACAGATGGATTTGGCAACACATTTAGCTGATTTTTGCCAGTCTCTTTAGCATTGCTCTTTATTTAAATTCTAAAGAAAAGCAACTATTCTTAAAACAAAAAACCTTGCATCCATAAATGATTGTAGAAACAAGAAAGTTGAAAAGTGGAGCAATAAAATATTTCCTTGAAGGAAAAATTACCTCTCCTAGTGAATCATCGTGCATGTCACCCACAACTTCCAGTTTTTCTAGCAGAGTACCGGTTGAGCCACCAATTAATAGAACCTGGCAATCATATAAGGCAATTAAGAAGAAATATTAAAGCAGTGATTTGTCAAATCCAAGCAATCACGAGAGCAATAAGTCAATGAATGCTGTACGTGAAATAATTACTTTGAAGACATTTAAGTCCACGAAAGAAGTCTTAAAAAATAATTTAAGTGTGGTGTGCACTGACAATGTGAGCAAAATCTAGAACAAACTTTGATTCTCAAGTTACAATCAAAGATTCTGATGTTCCGTCATGTAGTCATGCAAGCTTACCCAGTTATATTAAATTCATTTTGTATGCAAATACTCCGGTATTTCAGACTAAAATGGGAAAAGAATCCCTGAACAAAGTTGAAAATATGCAATAACGGATAGGTACTGAAAGATAGCACTATAAAAACATTGAGTCTCACGGATAGCAAAGTTCTTTGGGGCTCTTGCATTTTGAAACTCGCATCGGCTTCAGAATAGTAAGAGGTGAAAGGGGAGGAGGTGCAAACATTAGTTTCTTCCGTCAGATGGTCAATAATTCCATTATCAAAAACATTTCATGAGTATTGGAGAGAAAATATTGTCATTATTCACCAAGAAAATCCCTCAATTCATAATAAAGTGGCAAAATACAATATACTAAGAAACAGTCAAATAAACATGTACCCAATGTGGATATTTTCCTATGCTAAAACTTCCCTCAAAGTGGAGCAGATATATCAACTCAAACCAGGTTGTTACAAAGGCCAGAAAAATGAAAAGGTCCAACAGATTTTGTGAAGATATCAACCAGTTGTTCCTCACTAGTAACATGTAAAGTGATCTTTTTTGATAGGAAATGTCTCCATAAAGTGACAGTCAACTTTGACATGTTTAATTCATTCGTGAAAAACAAAGTTGGTAGCAATGTAGATTATGCGTGATTATCACAATTGTAGATCATAAGTTGATTAATAGTAAAACCAATTCTGTTACAAATGTAATCCACATCATTTCACAGATGAAATGAGTCTTATATTCTGGTTTTTTTTACAGAACGATCGGCAACGATTGTAAGTCTTATATTCTCCTTTAACACGAGATCTGGCCATCATTTCTTACTCCTGCATGACAAGATTTCCACCAACAAGAACTCAATATCTAAAAGTTGATTTTCTATCTTCAATAGACCCAACATAATCAATATATTCGTAGGCTTCAATCTTTGGATTATTTTTCATATAGACAAATCCTTTTCTAGGAGCTTTTTAATATGTTTCTTCGAAGGATTTTGCATGTTCTGACTAACCACACCAACAACAAAAGGCATGCTTGATCTAATGATTGGGTGGGCTTCACACGCAGGAGCAAATTGTGAGCAACAAAGGAGTGGAAAGCTAGGCGTTCACAGGGAAACTGTAATGATCCATATACCTTTAACAACATCAATATAATACTTCTTTGTCTCAGTCCTCTCAACAAAACCAACAACATGTGCAAAATTCATCTCTTCAGATTTGAATTTTACCATCTAATTTCCACAATTGGTAACTTTATCTATGTAAAATATTATTTGCGTTTGTGTCTTTGCCACAAGTATTCTTGATTCCGCTTTGCTTGTTCTAGTATTCAAACAAAGCTTTTCATTCCATTAGTCAAGATATTTGTGAGTGGAGATTGGTATAATCATAAGCTGAAGTGGCGCTAGTTTATACCTTGGGTAAGATTAAGTTATAAAGTATCTCAAAACAGTTCAATAAAATATATTTTAAATAACAGTAGAATGAAATATAATTCAATCCAATTTCTTATTAAATTTTCCAACACCTTAAGTTCCTCCCTTGATTTTCATTCAAACCAAGAAAAGCCAAAATAAATAATATTTAGAAATGATTCTATGGTTTTAGCAAATAAAAACTCAACTACCAGTTTTAAGAAAACCTACTGTTAGAACAACTATTGCAGTCGTAGCTGTGAATATAGTTTGACCATGTCCTTCTGGAAGGTCATGCACAGATTGCAGAGCCAGGGCAAAAGCCATGGCCCCTCTAAGACCTGCTCATTATGAATTGCCCAAGAATGACAAAGAAGAAAAAAAACAGAAATCAGAAATCTACAAAAGAAAATCAACTTACCACTATACCATAGTGCCTTCTGATGTTTCATGGGTATTTGTCTATGGGTTGGCCTTACCAAATTGACCAGACAGGCACAAGAAAAAACATTTGCCGCCCTTAGTATTAAAAAATTCAACATTCTCAGTTAGGATAATATGAAAAATTTTCAGAGCCAATTATTTAAAATAATCAAAATTCCAACAATTGGAATTGCTAAAACTAATTTCAAGTTCAATAAATATACAAAATGAATGCCTTCTAAATATCATGGGGCACAATGAATATGATGAAATTTAGGGTGTTGCTTTCAGTATTATCTATGGGAATAAGAAAGCAATACAAAACGATGTCATGAAAATTAACTAAAATCAATTCCAATAAACATACAAAGTAAATGACTTCTAAAAATTATGGGGCGCAATGAATTTGATGAAATTGAGGGTGGGTGCTTTCAGTATTATCTGTAGGAATAAAAAAAAGGCAATACATAGTGATTTAACATAGTGATTTACAAGAATCACTCACAAGACCAAAGCTAAAGCTAATGAAGTGCAAGAAAAACATCAAGGAGGCTCATGAATATCATTCACTAGATCTCTCAAGTCAAAGTCCAAAAAAATTCAAAGAGGACTTATGTGTAGCCCAACGAGCTCATTTGTTGCTTGAATTTAAATCATGTAATTATAATATCTAGATAACTTCAAGTTTAATTCAAATATTTATGCATTGCATGCAAAGTGGGACCTAAACACTTTGAACTTGATGTCTTAAATAGAATCTAGAGGCAATTTAATGCTTCCAGGTAATGTAGCCACCCCCTTCCCTCCATTTTTATAATTTAAATTTGTTTGCTTTCGGGGATTCTTATAATAAAGTAGCCCTCTTGCTGTAATGAAATCAATTTTTGGAACTTAAAAAAGAATCTGAGAATTATTTTTCTTTGGGTTGGAGCTTGTTGGTTAGCTTTTGATTTCTTCTTGGTGGGGGAGGCTAGCTATCTTGCTTACTCATGTGCTACATATCCACTTCCTAAAGCATCCCCGACATCTTCCCAAGGCATCAAACCACCCCAACCCTCACTACCCCTTCCATAAAATCATAACTCCTTTTGTCCTACTTTTTGCGACTAACCTATGGATAAAACTTATAACTTTTTGTTAATATTTTTTAAATGCCCCCATCTAATCCTAGAATATTGTTTTAATTTATATTTTTATTTTCTACCCCTTTGTCTTAAAATCTAAAAGTAATAATCGATGTTGGGTACATAAATTTTCACTCGGAATAACTTTACAATCTTTGCAATCTAAATGATCTAATTTTCTTATAAGAAATTAATCAATCTGAGTTTTACTAAATCCATTTTTATAAGTGATGAGATGTTCATCTCTTTTCTTAAATAAGGTATTAGCAATTAAAAAAATTATAATGCCAGATACACGTATTCTATACGTATCTGATTGACGACTAGCCTTAATCGAAAGTTCTCTCTCGTGATCGGGAGGGGTAATTAACTATAGGGGCTTGCGCCTACAGGAAACTAGAAATCAGATCATAAAGTCCTCACAAAATGAGGGCGAAATCTCTGGGTAGTGTCTTATCTTCAAACCCATCTGCCTTCCAAAATTTACCTCGAAACTTATCAGTTAAAACTCCCTCGCCGAATAAAAAGAAAAGCGCGGCGGGGAGGCCGGGGCCGAATTTTTGGAGCCCACAGCCCTAGCATTAACACAATTTTTTAAAGGATTTATGTCATGATTATTCGACAAATTTTATGCTGGTTGTCGACTACCAAACGCAATTAACCCACCATTTTTTTCATTCAGGACTTGAGACCTGGCAACGATAGTGTTTGCAAAAAAAGCAAACGTAGGAAAATATTATTGAAGATGAAGGACAAAGAAAGACAGAATGAGAAATAAGAAAAGAGGAAGGTTGATCATTGCTTAGTTTATTTTCATTCAAACAATAATGATGCCACCTAACCCCGATTGTTTTATTTATAATGAATGGGACCCAAATGTTACAAGCAATTAAAGCAATAGAAAATTAAGGCAAGAAATAAGTTCTAATAAAATAAAAGAGGATAAAGATCCAAATATTCCCTTGATACAATTATCTAAATATTGTAGATAAATACCTAATTAATCATGCTATTGACATTGAAAACAAAACTGAATCAAACGGTCTTCATCACATGCATTTCAAGTTTATACTGAATCGTATTAGTTTTATGTTGCTGCAATTCTAAAATAGCTAATACCTCAATTCAAAAGATATACTGCAAATCATAAAACATTATCAGAAAAGATAAATATACCTTAAAAGTATCCATGAATAAAATAATTTCTATACATAAACGTAAATGAGATTTCATTTAATATTTTCCATTCATCTGCTATGGATCTCCCTGGAATTTTCCATAAGCCCTACTACCAAAAGAATTGAGAGGCTAAAAAAAGAAAATGGTTCATGCTCTCCTGAAGTACGAGGAACATCATGTACATTCAAACAATTGGTACCAGGTCATGTCTGTTCAATAACAGAAAAAAACATATTGCAAATTATGTGAAATCTATTTTCCTAAGAAGCTGGCAACAGCTTGAATGCAGTCCACATCACAGGTCAAAACTTGAACATTGAATTAGAATTACATTAGCAAGAATGAACGTTTTAAATATGCTTTACGAACAGTCTGGATAAACACAATTAGAGGGGTTATAACTGAGTAGGAATTGCATACCTTGCAACCACGATGAATAGCTGATCATTTATAAAGAAAATAAGTTAAGGAACAAAAAAAATATGGCAAGCAAATTTTCTTAGTGATCATTGTTGACAGAAATAGAAACAAATTACTGGCTGAAGTCAAATTACCAGCCAATAATGCGTCAAAAGAGCAATTTTAAATCAAGTTTAACCCTAGGAATTAATTTAAGCTGACTTAATATTTTTATCATTATCATAATTTGTTTGCCTTATCAGTCGGTGCTACGAATCCTCATTTTTCATTCATTTCTACATAATGATGTCGGAGTTGCAAAATTTATTCTTTGTAAATCATTTTGAACAACCTTTATTCATATTATCTTATATTTACCTGTTCTCCTTCCTAATCATGTGACAAAATTTTATCTACTTGTCTAATAGAAGCATTTTGTTTTCTTCGTTAAACATATCCAAAGCACTTAAGTCTAATTTTAATTACCTTATATTCAATAATTGTCACTAAAATCATTCCTCTAATATAATCATTCAATCATTTACCCTTTCAAATTTAGACATAACATATTAACATTCTCATTTCTATCATGCTCGACTTGGATATCAACTTTTATGGCCCCACATCCATACAACATTATTGACGTAATTGCGGTAAAATAAAACCATAACTTCAAATATACATGATATCTTCTTATCACATAATACTCTTAAATGATGGAGATCTGCAAGTCTATAACTTGTCAAAAATATCGAGTAAATAAATGAACTATAATGATGAATGCCTCTGAGAATAGGATGTGTTCTCAGTTATTTGATTCTCTAATACTACGTCGGTTTATGCGGTTTGGCATAGACTCAAGCTAGCTTGATTCTTGGTTGATTTTTAAGTTAAGTGTGGAGGTTCGAGTCATATGTTCACTATTTCACGATGCTTTCCCAAGCATGGTATTGATGCTTTTGAACTTCAAATTAAAGGAGAAAGTGTTGTGGTTAATGTTAATCTATTGCAAACTGATTTGTGTTTTTTTGTACAACTAGAGCTGATTTGTGTTTTTTGTACCACTAGAGCTAATATGTGAACTCAACACTTGAATTTTGGGATTAATTTGAAATGAGCTGATTATGTAACAACCAAATCTACTAACATAGGAATGAAAAGTTTATAAATAGATAGTTTGAAATGGGTAATTTAAAACACTTCAATTAAATAAATTTCAAATTATAGTGTACAATCTTCAGTGTACAAAATGGATGTGTAACAACTACGAGTGCGGTACAAGTGATACTAACTAATTCCAAAAAAAAAAAAGTTATTTCTTTGCAATGATGCGATGCTGAATTTTTTTTCACTTAGGTGAACTATTTCCTTTCTTTTTCCTTCTATTTTTTTTATATTGGCTTACTATAATTCTTGATTTTATTCAAAATTTATAAAATTGTGATTTCAATTATGATCGAAAGTTATCCATTGCTAGCTTATTTTTCATTATTGTCTTTGAATTTAATCAATTATTGCATAACCATTTTGGTTTTAATTCTCATATTTTCTGATTTGCACTTAAAAAAGCAAAAGCTTTTATGCAATTAGTTATCTTTCATATATGAATCCTAATTTCTTTTGGGCGATCGATATTTTATTATATCATCATAGTTACATTAGTAAACCCAAACTTTAAAACATCTAGCATCAGAATCATTGAGGCACTTCTCTAATTTAACTAACCAATCTTATCTCTAAAAGTTATATCATATTCTTCTAAATAATAGATCAAAGATACTTAAACTTATCACACCTATGTATCATTTTATCTTCTAATAAAATTAATTTAATAAATGTTAATATCACACCTAAAATTACATATTATATACTCAATTTGTTTTACCTACTATAGCTTGTTAAGCCATTTATCTTCTAAATATTTTTCCTATTGTTTGATTTTTTTACTTATTTCAATAGAAATTCCACCAATTAGAATTATCTCATTTATAAAAAGTATACATCAAGACACCTCACTTTAAATATCCTATATAAATATCTCCGTAATTAATAGATAAAAATATGGACACTATGTTGTCATATGTAATGCTATTATAATCTGAAACTTTTTGACGACTCAAGAACTACTTCTCATGCTGATATTAATAACTTTAACATATAAGTGACACATTTTTTCCTTAATACACAAAAAAGCAATTCTTGAGGTACATGCTCATATATTTTCTCAAGATCAATAAAAATCATATGAAAATCCTTCTCTACTCTATATACATTTCTATTAATTGTATTAACACAAAAATTGCTTTCATAGTAGAGCATCCTAGCATGAAATAAAATTGATTCCTAGAAATTGACATACTATTTTCTTAAACTATGTCCCATTACTCTCACATAACTTCATAGTACGACTTAAATTTTGATTGATTTATAGTTATCATAATCTGGAACATCTCATTTCCTATTTAATTTTTTTTATTTTAATTTTGATCATCAAAAGGTAAGTCACCCACAATACTGCAAACTTCGAACCCAAGATGTTCTGTGAGGAGGTGGAGCTCTCTGCCAAGTGATCATAGGAAGGGCCACATTAGTTAGCATCCATTGGGACATTTAAATTCTACTAAAAAAAAGTTAACGAAATAACTGCAATATCCCATATCTTAGAAATCTCAATAGGAATCTCATTTGGATTTAAAACCTTATCTAAACATTTAACTCAATATTTTGCATGCATATAATCTTTAACCTTAATCGTAGATTTGACAAGACAATAGATCAGTAGATGCCTTTCTTAATTTAAGACCAAGGTCTAAATCCTTGATGAGTTTTGCTCTAAACTAATGACAGACTTGCATTTCGTCTATCATTTGTACTACTCATTACTCTCCTACATTACCATAGCATTATTGATCTTTGTATTGTTAGTAAGAAATTTGTGAATAATAGCAATTGTTTTTGTTCCGATAGCTTTTCTTGTTGTGCTCATAGACTTTATTCTTGTTTAGCTAGGTGATATCAAAACAGAATTTTATTTCATATGATTTGGAGTAGGATCGTTCGAGATAATTGATCCATTAGAAGTTTAGTGGACGAATGCAATAATCCAAGAGCATTTAGAATATTCCAAAATTATAATCAGCATTCTAGCTTGAACTTCTGAGACAACATTATTACCATTGAAAGTGTTATCTACACAAAAAATTAGTTCTAGTTATTTTTTTTATTTAAAAACTATATTAACAATTTTGGTTTGAGAAATTGTAGAATGTAATATTTTCTTATTTAAATGAATAATCTCTTTGAATCTTTCTCAAATATAAGGAAATTAATAATTCTAGTTGAATGAAATTGGACAATCTCTAATCAAAACTAAGCCAAAGTTGGACCACATATGCCGGAAAATTTTCATTTCCAACTTAAAACTAAATTGAATTGGCATGAAAGTCAATTCAATTTCCAATTCACTATGTAGAGCAGACCTTGACAAAGTCTGCCTTGAGTAGAGATAGACTTGCCTTCGCTCAACTTCTTAAAAACCCTACTAAGTATGAAATTGAACTCATACTACGAGATATATTATAAAGGATACAATTGAGAAAAAAATAAATCCAACATGAGACCAGCTGTGCTGTTCCATAGCAATGTCAAAACCCATATAGATGAATCTGCAGGTAGAAGAAGAACCTTTAGTAATGATAATATACTTGACTTGTCATGTCCAGGTGATTAAAAACTTGCAAGTCTCTTACACAAATGTTTCCGCTAGTGATGAGATCAAGTGGAAAAATGCAGCAGAAAAACGTTGTGAATTTTCTGATAAATTTGAGAATGTGTAGTGCTTCATAACCTACAAAGAAAAAAGGTATAGGTGATTTTTCTTCTCAAAAAATGGGTAATTAACTTCATGGTTAACTAACAATATACTTACAATTCCTGTAAACAATATTGAAACAATTCCAGACAAACCGATTCCCTCAGCCAGCATATATCTAAGAGCAGAAAACATAATAATTGCATCAACAAATTTGAAAATAACAGAATTTCATTTCATGCAAAGACAGAACACGGATCAATTATTCACTCACGAAAAGTAAGGGAAAAGGACAAAAAGACAGCATTCCAAATTTTGAAGACTGCAAGGCGAAACCAAGAGTTAAATTTCACTTTTAACCAAGGTTAAAATTGGAAAATAACAAAAAAAGATCGCCGAACTTACTTGTCAACATCAAGGCCTGCATACTTGAATAGGTGATAAATGGTTAAGGAATTAAATTCTAGATGTGTTCTAGTATTACAAATATTTGCAGGAAATGGAACTATGACCATTTGAATATGAGCTAGGACCGATATAACAAAATAAAATACATAGAAAATATGCCACAGATTATAGTTATGGAATAGTAGATATTGCATACAAATAAAAACTAAAAGTACATCGACACATACAAATAGTAAAAATCTGTACCACATTTAAAGTGTAGCATTCATTTAACCAACCATTTTTGGTACTCTTCTAAATGTGTTGGTATAAAAAATGAATGAAAACAAGGTTCCAGGTGGATTTGGTTTGGAATTTTTCTTAAGTGGCAAATTCGTACTGAACAATAAAAAAGAACATAAGTCTCTAATATTTGCATCGTATGCATGAATAGAGGTACTGATAATGCTCCCAATCTTTCTTTCCACATTTATTTGTTAAGTTGTCATATGTCAAGAGCTTCATCAAACACACCTCCCCATCTTCCCAATAATTAGCACAAAACATGGTGCAACCGTTTGAAAAAAGTGTTTTGCTTGGATGAAAAATTAAAAAAACTTGTACCATAAATTAAGCATTGTAAAAGTAATATGGTGATCCTAAATTGCTTTACAGCTACATAGCCTCCTAAAAGTCGCATAGCATCAAAATTCAAGAGTAGAGCTAATCCATAACCCTTTGCCCTGTCCTCCTTCAACCTGAAAGTGGGCAAAGCCCATCCAGAAAATAAACAACTAATGAGTAAAGTGAACCAAAAATGCTAAGGCTTACAACCCGCCTATCCAAACCAAGTTACAGATATGACCATAATCATTATAAAGCCAGCAAATTGGAATCTGCATAATGAAGTCTTCCTATTATGTCTACATAATGATATCATTACATGAAGTCAGTTAAGACCTTGGATTCCAAAGATTATTACACTGACCAAAGTAGCAGTCCAATAGCTTATTACCGTATGCAAAGTAGAAGTATTTATATAGTGTAACAAACCCCAAATATATCGTTTGCAGTATAGATCTCTAGTGACTAGCAACGAGAAATAACAAAAAAAAAAACATTCAGAAGGATATCAGAGAGGAGATGAATCCAACACCAACCCCTGCACCAAATAGAATTATATAAGCCATTACATAGCTCTACAAGGAAATATTTAACAACATAAATTAAAATTAAAAAGTTGCATATTAATGCACCTTTTGACTTATTTTATAGTATAGAGTCAAAGATTTCAAATTACGATGCTGCGTTATCACAGATGCTAAAGAGGTATCAGACACGACAAATGAGCATACATATTTTGTTACTAGAACTTGGGCACATTCTATCAGCTAATTTATTAACTGTCTAGCTACAATCTAACAATAAAAAAAGCTTGTGATCCGGTGTGATACACTCTCCATCAGTTTGTTATATTTAGCACGGATGTTCATAAAAAATGAGAATACAATGCAAAATACCCCCCACCACAACAAGTTGAATCTATTTGTAAATTCTTCAAACTATGCTATATTAAACTTGTCTAGAAAAATGATTTTAATATGATAACACATAGGAGAAGTACAACCAAAAAATATTAAAAAAGTGCTTAAGTTTTAGGAGCTGAGTGGAAAAGGATGCCATCAATGCTTAAGTTAGTTGGACGAGGGGAAAAGATTCTTAATAGATTTTTTGGTACTCATCTATCCAGCACACCAGAAACTAGAAACAGAGGTATCATGTCCCGCAATAGATGCCATCAATGCTTTAGTTAGCTGAATGAGTGGAAAAGATTCTGGCCGAGCAAGATCAGCACGGAAACTCACTCGCCCTCAAGTTAATATCTCATGCCTTAAAAGAACGCACAACTCAATAGAAAAAAACCCAATAAAACTCACCTTTGGGTCCTATAAATAGTCTAACCTGAACGCTAATTGTGCATTAGAAAGTGAGGTAAGAGATTATTATAAGATGCTAATGGTTGCCCTCTGAAGGCCCTAAAATAGGGGCATAAATTATCCAAGTAGAGATAGTAATTAATCCTATTTTCTTAAAAGATGATGGTACAATAAGAAAAGAAGAAAAGTAGACTATAAGAAGAAGAGGAAGGATCACAGGCAAGAAGAACAAATAGAATGAAGAAGAATAAGAAGAGATTGGCAATACTAAGTTATTATATTTTAGTTTGCTACTTCCAAATTATATTTTCTACCAAGTAAAACTCCCTCTCTTAAATAACACTTATTTCCTCAAAAACTATCATCCTAAATTCTTTGGCCAATCATCATTGCAAGATGCAAATTTATTTTAACTTTCTTACAACAGTCATGCACAAATAGCTTTGACATTAGAATAGCTAAGCCACCCTTTCATTCAGAGCTGAGAGGTGTCAGAGGCATCATCCTCCTATTTATTGATTGATAATGAAACATATTATATTGTAGCAGATGCCATCATAGTTTTCTGATATGAATTCTTAGTGTTTGGGAATATGAACAATGTAATTATATACAAATTTTGTTCTTCCTAAATGCTTTCTATGAAACACCTATTAAAGAAATGTATTCTCCAGTTTTTAGACCATACCAAATCATTAGAAAGCTAGGAGGTGATAAGTAAATATTTTAATAAATATTAGTTATACTTTCTACATTAAGGATCTATTCCATTGACGACTTGTGAACCTCCAGTACTTGTGACTTTTTTCTTGTAGTGTTTTTGCATCTCCCTGATGTCTCCCACAATAGCCCTAATAACATTGTTCCCACCAAACTTCACCTATAGATACCGTGTATATAACAACTCGTGAGATCATCAGTGGCCGCTTAAGACAGTAATGCTATAATGTTCGATGGAGATGTCACTGTTCTTTAGATGAACCTTGGTTATTTATGGCTTCTAGGCTCTTGATCTTTCACAATAATATCACGACCATCACTCTCCAAACAAGAGCCCACTGCAGCAAGATGGAGTTGATGATGACCATAAGGGACTCTTAAGGATACTGCTCAACATGATTGTTATAGTACCAATAATCATACTCACTTGCCAGGATGATCAAGTTCAAAATGGACTTTTATTATATTATGCATCTTAGATATGAAGGTCCTTTAATTGTTTACAAGAACGATGGGACAATAAAAGTAGGTGTAATAAGTAAATGTAGAATCATCAGTTTTATAAATTCATTCCTATTCAAACGAAACGTGAAAGAAAAATAAATTCACGGTTTTCTTTTGCATTTCAATATGAACAATAAGATAATATCTCAACTAGTAAAATCGCAAGAGCTTGAGAGGCGAGCAACCTCAACAGCATGATAAAGAAGCTGTGTTTAGCATCACAATGGAGACACAGTTCTGGTAACATGGCTTGAGTTCCATTGTAAAAGAACCTCATCTCCGCAACATGTAGTTCTTTGCTAGGGCTTGAGAGGTGAGTGTCCTCAATGGCCTAAAGTAGGTATTTGGATCAACGAGATAAGCACCAAGTCACAAGTTAAGAGCCTCTTCTCTCCTCTTGGCAACAATACTCCAGAAATTGGTCATTTGCCTATTCGAACTTTTGTTGAAGTTGATGATGGTAAATTGGCTCCCTTTCCTCAATTAAATTAGGTAATTTCACCAAAACTAATTAAATCCTTTTCCCCACCCTTCCTACTCTGAAATTGACCTTTATGTGATATGGTTTGCCATTTTTTCCTTCTCAACATTTGAGATTAAATTTCTTACAAAAAAATTTATTTGGCTCTAGTATGTAAATTTGCTTCTAACCATCTGAATATAAAAGGTATAAGATAGCTTTTTGTTGGTTTGATTCTGCGTTCTTCAATTTTAGCTGGCCTTATCGATCACAAAAATATTCTCACTAGAGTTGAAAATGAGAATAATTATATGAAGTTCTTCTCATCAGTTTTATTTTGTTCATGGCTTCCCTATGAGATTCCTAAAATAAACCAAAACGAGAATCTCCTAACTTGTTTATGTGGATGTTAGACCGGTCCAGCCGATCCGACAGGACCGGCTTATGCGAACAGAGGTGGACTTTTTTGCCTCCTGTACGTGCCGAACGCATGCCCGGGTGTGCTTGAGTTGTTTAGGAAGTTTTTTTGAGGGAGTTGGGAGGGAAATTTGAATGTAGGGACTATTTAGGGATTTCCTTTTGATTTGTATGCATTAAATAGTTTGTTTTCATAGGATTAGGGCATCTTGAATTTGGATTGAATTTGATATCTCTTAGTTTCTTTGGGCTCTAGCGGCGTCTAAAAATTTGGGAGAGAAAGATCCTCCTCTCGAATAGATGATCAATTATATCTTGATATTTTCCATTTCCCTTTAATCAAATAATATAAATTATCTATTGTTTCGTGGTTTTGTGTGGATTTTTGTGGAGAATTCTCATTGTTTTCCGAAGATTTATAGGAAATACTCGAGATCAACAAGTGTTTCCTATCAAATTGGTATAAGAGCACGTCGATCTAAGGGGAACCACTGGCCGGAAGAAAAGTGGAAGTTTTGGAGGGAGAACTTGAGCAACTCAAAGTAGATTTTGAGGAGAAGATAGCTGATTTTCAAAATCATATCGCATCCGCCAATGAAAGGATGGAGGAAAAGTTCGCCGTGGTGAAATACATGTTGAAGAAATTGCTTGAAGTCAAACCCAAACCGGCGACATTGGAAGCAAAGGAAACTACCAGCAGCCATGGAAGAGGTGGGAACCCTAACATGTTTAGGGGAAGGAAAAATCCAGAAGTGGAGATCCTAAAGGGAGAAGACGGAATGTCTCTCTAGAATCATTTTCTAGGGAGGAGATGAGCAGTGGCTATGGGGTGCTGAATTTGTAAGAAGAGGGAAAGATTTTGATTACCAGGCTGTTGATTTTGAAAGAAGAAGAGGAGATTCTGAGGAAGGATTTGGGTATGAGCGCTGAAGGGAAGAGCGTGACGATTAGGGGTGGAGGGGGGGGGGCACCTCCTCTTCGAGGAATGGGAGGCTATGAAGGATTCAGGGGGTGGCCTGAACGTGGGAAAGCTGAAGATGTCCATCTTTGAGGGCGAGGACACACATTGGTGGATCTACAGGATAGAAAGATATTTCACCGTCAATGGGTTGACGGAAGAGGAGAGACTAATGGAAGCGGGCCTATGTTTAAGGGAAGGCTTTGTCTTAGTACCTGTGGAGGGACATGCGACAACTCATACGAAGTTGGAAATAGTTCAAGGATTGTTTGATAGAACGTTTCCGAACTGGCAGGGGAGGAGACTTCTACGAGCAGTTCTTCGCCTTGACACATAATGGTTCAGTGATGGAGTACCGGAAGAGATTCGAGTACCTTGCTAGCCGATTGGACAGCCTTCTTGAGACAGTGCTAGAGGAAAATTTCATGAAGGGACTGACACAAGAGATCCGGGAAGTGGTTAGAGTAATGAGGTCTCGTGACTTAGGAGAGGCTATGGAGTTAGCTCAATTAGTGGAGGATCATAGGCACTTGGAGAGAGAGATGGGATGCAGCAACTCAGGAGGTTCGAACAAGAGGACCACCACCTTTCTGGCACCCAAGGAGCCGACAACGGGTACTTTTCGGGAGACTTCGAAGGAGAAGACTGTAGGAGTAAGACCCGTGGACAACTTCAAGAAGCTCTCATAGAAACAGAATTACAAGAGAAAGGGCGAAGGGGCTCTGTTTCAGATGTGATGAGAGGTATACGTCGGGGCACAGGTGTAAGGACCAAACTCTTCAGGTTCTTACCGTTTGTGATGAAGAGGGAATGGAGGAGGGTGTCGTCTTTCCACCTTGCAGACAAGGTGGATCATTGGGAGGAAAGTATTGTTAGATCGGTCCATTGGAGCGGTCCAGCCAGTCCGATGGGACTGGATTACATGAACAGAGGCGGACTTTTCCGCCTCATGTACACGCCGAACGCACGCCCAGGTGTGTGTGAGTTGTTTAGGAAGTTTTTTTGAGGGAGTTAGGAGGGAAATTTGAATGTCGGGACTATTTAGGGATTTCTTTTTTATTTGTATGCATTAAATAATTTGTTTTCCTAGGGTTAGAGAATGTTGAATTTGGCTTAAATTTGAGATCTTTTAGTTTCTTTGGGCTCTAGCAGCGTCTAGAGATTTGGGAGAGAAAGATCCTCCTCTCGAATAGAGGTTCAATTGTATCTTGGTATTTTGCATTTCCCTTTCATCAAAGAATACAAATTATCTACTGTTTCATGATTTCGTGTGGATATTTGTGGAGAATTCTCGCTATTTTCCGAAGGTTGATAGAAAATACTTGAGATATACAAGTGTTTCCTATGAGTGGATTGTTTTCATAAACTCTTGTTTATTTTATGAACCATCAAACTTTATTTTATTTGGATACTTTTTAGTTATCCCTTTGGTGTGAATACTACTATTACTAAGCTTATCAAGCCTTTAGTGGTCAGGGCCTTCCTAAAAATGGATGCTAGTCCAAGTTTTGCTAAAGAAATTATAATTTCAGATGACAAAGTTTTCTTAAACAGAGACTATTAAAAACATAAACTTGCCAATGAAAATTCAACCAAAAAAATACATCGAGCCACTAGGTAACTAGCGACATAACAGCCCCTGCTTACCCCAAATCTTGTATTCCCTACCAGTGAAATTGTCACTGCTGTAATGCTGAAAAAGGTAAGAAGGTAAGATCAAATTTTACCTAAAATTTTATTCCCTATTCATTTATTATTGTTTGTCATTTTTAATATTATATTACATTAATATATATACACTATATAAAAAAAATGTATTGCCGTGTCCGCGCCGTACCCGTGTCCTATATTTTCAAAAAAAGCCGTGTCCCGTGTCCGTGTCGTCTCGTGTCCGTGTCGCCGTGTCCGTGTCCGTGCAACATAGGTGATGCACAAATTCATGCAACTCATACACAAAACTCGCAACCTACAAACTATTAGTTTTAACAATTATCAATTATTTGTGATGAAATTCAAAAACATGAATTTCAACATAGAAGAAAAAATTTTGTTTCTTCTTGAAGCAATGCATATAAATTTAGAATCACAAGAAACCGTGTAACTAATTGAAAATCAGACATTCATTTGAACTCTAGTTTTTTTATCTTTCATGCATTCAAACCATCATAAGTTTTTTAGGAAAGAAAATAAAGTATAAGGAATTCACAAAATGGTAGATTTAAGTCTCACTCTTTTTCAAGGAGAATCCCTCTTTGAAAGCTTCAAGTCTTTCTCTTGATCAAGAAATTAACTCCAGGAAGGGATCTCATCTAACTTAGAATTTTTCTCAAAAAAATAACTTGACTTTTCATGTACATACTTTCGAACTGTACACCCTTTTTTATTTTTTGAAAAAAGTAAATCTGTTAATTTTAACTGTACACACCTATATGTACATACTCTCTTGATTTCCCTATCCATTGTCTTTTCAGGCAACAAAAAATGCAAAAATAAAAAGGAAAAGAAATTGTGTATCCCACTAATCACAAAATTTTTAAGCTAGTCCTGGGTAATAGAAATCTAAATACTGCCAGCCACATATTACTGCAACATAAGTTGTTAGTCCTGGTTAACACGTTATAAATCCCATTAGAATGGTATTCCTCAAGCTAGAATTGCAAAATTACTAATTGATACACTTTAATCGCGGTATATGTTGTCTCTTTTTCACTGCCACATCCTATGGGAACAGTTGTATTTTTCTCATTTGATATACATACAATTAGGATATATGTATTAATTTGAAATCTCATTTGGCTCATATTTTTGAACCCAATGAAACAGAAAATATCATGGTGATGATATGGGTTGCTGATTTTGGTTTCATCATGATGATGGTATGATAACCTAGGTGCTCACAGACCCAGCGTTGCTGCTGGATCTAGTGTTAAGTGTGTGATGTAGATTTTGACCAGCGGGGCTGCTTCTAGAATGGGGGGATCATGGAGGAAGAGAATGCGAGAAAGTAGAACAAATAAAGGATTTAAATGCATTGGATTTATAACACTTATGAGCGAGGAGGAATCTTCTTTTTATTTTTGCTTCATATGTTACATATGGGAGTTGCTTGAGCTCTGATCCTTTTTCCTGCTCACTTTTCTGAAGGCTGAAAAGCTCTCACACATCGTTAGATGGGATACATGTAGAAGAAATGGGATTCCAAACTATCGTAGGTCCCTAGAAACATTCTTATAACAGACTTCACCATGCTAGTCTTTTACAGCAGTATTCCGAGAGATGAAAAGAGGGGTGGCCATGTGTTAGTAAATAAGGAGTGACCATATGTCGACTAGTAATAGGATTGAAGCTAATACTTGGTGGTGCTTTACAGGAATTACTGAGGTGTTTGTGTGGAGATTGTTGGTCAACGAAAGGTTGTTATAATGTTGGTGGTTACTTGCTAACATTAGAAGGTTGACAGCTGAATGTGGACTTAACCCTAGGGTGATATCGAATTAGTTTCTTGGGCACTATCCTGAATAACTTAAGTGCCAAGTCACACATTTTGAACCTTATCACATCCTAAATCTAAGATTTGTATATGGATTTGATCAGATAGTAATGATTCTTTTTGTAAATGGTGCCAGATTTGTGGTCCACACCTATGGTTTATTATTGCGAACATAAATTAGACATGAACTAAAAGTAGACCAAAAACCAGTGAGTCATATTCTTTTATCTATTCCATAAAATTTTGGAAGCATTTTGTAGCGCATATGCTTTTTGCTATAGTTTCATACAAACAACAAGAACATCAAGGCTTTGTCCCACTACGTGGAGTTGGCTGCATGAATTTTTTTTTGCCATTTTGTCTGGTTGAGAATGATAAATTTTTACTAGATAAACCTGTTAGAATATTTGAACACCTACCCTGATGGGATGAAAATTTTAGCTTTTATTATTAGAAGCATTGTATCAATTATTATGTTTTTATAGTTTAGTAACTTTTTTAGTAATTCGTTTATTTAATTACTTTATTCATTATACTTGTCTTTTCTATTTGAGGGCATGCCAATGATGATGGCCCAGAGTGCTTTTAATGGTTGAGAGGGTATTTTCTAGCTCTACATTAGTTTTTTTAGTTAACATGATTATAATCTTGGTTAAGTTTGGGTTAATATCTACAAAGGGAGGTTATGGATTATTGCATTATATCTTTATGCTACTAATAATAATAGATAAATTGGTGGCTGCTATGGAGGGTGGTTGTTAGATTGCCAGTGTTGCAATTGTAAAATTAAAAAAAAAGAAATAATAAAGTAGGCATTTTGTTGGAGTAATTGTTTTGGCAATCGATATGTTTGATTTTTTTAGGGAAATGGTGTTGTGTTGTAGGAACTGCTTTCCTTCCTACTAGGCCTTATCTTGTTCTTCTGCATATATTGAAGTGGTGTTATTCTTACAATTAGTTTCGTTGGCTTGGCTTTTGCGTTTCTTTTAGATTGTTTTCCATGAAATTTGGACAACCTATTCCTATGTGAGAGTGGTGCAAAGCTGCTACTGCAAAGTGGGTCTTTTGAAAATTTAAAATTTGAAACAGAATAATATCCAACTATTTTGGGGAATTAAAATTTAATTGTGTTTTATTTAGATTTAATTGAGATTGATTTAATGCCAGTCTTATCTAAAAACCTAGTCTATAGTCTCTAAATGGCGGTATGAAAGGCACCTGCACGTGCTTCACAATGAGGGGCCTCGTTAGCAACTTTTGATTTTCTAGCCTGAGCGAGGCGTATGCCTTTTCCATTTAGCCCCTGAGGCAAACGCCGCAAATAAATATTTATTTATGATCAAAATATTTCTTTTTCTGATATATGTAAGAGGTTTTAAATTTTTAGATTAGAATTTATATTCATTATAGGCTACAGTTAAAAGTTGAGCATGAGAGGGTTGTGATTTAAGAGTACGAGTGAGAATTTGGAGAGTTTTTGTGAGGGAGAGTCTGCGAGAGGGGATGGGGGAGCGTTTGTGAGCATGGAGGGGAGCGTCTGCGACTGTGATTTGGGAGAAGAGTGTACGTGGCAATGGTTAGGAGGGGAACATTTGCATCAGTGATTGCAAGCAAGTAGGTCAAGTTTATTTCTTTTCTTACTAGAAAAGCAAATGGTTTTCTTTTAAGTTTTTTTTTTTCTTATTTTCTTATAGATATTTATAATTTTCTTTTGAAAAAAACTTGTTTTTATTTGTCCTGATTTATTTTTTTAGTTTTCTTTAGATATATTTTAATTCCCTTTTTTAGTTTTCTTTTTTTTTTTGTTTTAATAGATTTATGTTCATTTTTCTTAATTTGCTACTTTAGTTTTCTTCTGAATCTTTTTTAAATTCTTGTTATTATATATTATTTTTATTTTTTGTAATTTATTTTCTTAGCTTATTTTAATTGTTGATGGTACTATATGAAAATATTTAACTTGAAAATATGTTACTGAAGATGAAGTGCCAGGAATTAAAAGGATGATGTCCATTTAAAATACCAATTTTGTCTCAAGAGAATTATTTGTGGTGTTAAAAGGTTAACAGATTACTTAGCTTGCATACACTTTAACTATGGAGCTTATTAAAAAAAATGCTAGAAGATCTTAAAATAGAATGTGCAAAATATTTGAAAAATGGGTTTTGCTCGATATTTAGTTCCTTTGTGCGATTGATGTGAGTTTACAACTACAAGTCAGGTGTATTGGAAATTTTATATCTAAAACCATATATTTCTCGGCTATTTTGGGAAATTAAATTAAAGTTGGGGTTAATTTAAACTTAATCGAGGTTGATCCTATGCTAACCTTATCTACGATACTAGAAAATGTGAATTCTATATAGTGTGAACGGAGGCATTTAATTAGGAAATTTTAGCTTGAACAAAATTCCTCTTCCAATATTCAATCTAGCGAGTACAAGTTGAATGTATGAATTTTTTTAATGTTTTGTAAGTACAACTACTTGAATACAGGGGAAGTTATATCCTTGCACCAGCATGAGATTGTTTTTTCTCTACTTGCGCAATTTCGTTTCTTGTCTATTTTTTTTCTATATGTGTTTTAATAACTAGGTTAATGCCATTGATTTGATGAAAAAGCAATATATCAAAATATGATTTTATAGAAATTAATTATTTTACTCGCTTATTTTATTTGTCTATAAATATTTAATAAAGTTCTTCTATGTTTGCAGTCATTTTATTATCAATTATTTTTAAACATTATTTTTGCTATTATTAAAAAAAGCGAATTGTTAGATTGATTGGTTATAATTTTTAAATATCTATATTTTTATATGAGTTTATATTACACGTCATATTAATAGAAAATCTAATTAGCTTTGAAGATCAAGAAGGCTCTAAATTAAACAGAATTGGTCCATGCTCGGAATTTAGGCTCTTTCCCAAAGAAAAGAATACATTTCTTTGTTTGAGATGAGATTTCATTGATCTAAATACGTTTTACTTGCAACAGAAAAACAATAAATTATGCGTTTTTTCCGGTCCATTTAAACTTGTAGTGTAAACTATATTTTTCCAACTATTAGTTTATGCAACTGCATTTCAATATTGTAGCATTGCATCATATAAACTACATTTTCCCAACTATTAGTTTATAAAAGGGTTATTAGTTCTTCAGTCTTTTTAATTATGTTGACTTACCTTCAAGCTGAATAATGGAAAAAATACGGTGTTTGACAACAATTGCAATTGAAATGCATTATGATACATATACGTTTTGTTCAAATAGCTTGCAGAAGTTTTTGCAAAGGATGGCTTGTCCTTTCTTGCAAGTTGTCAGAATCTTGTCTCTCGACCCTGGGTTATTGATGACTTGGATTCGTTTAAAACCAATTGGGCTAAGAAGTCCTGGAAAAAGGTAATCTTTATAACAATCATTATGCTTTTACTTTTTAAAGTTGTTGCACAAATAGGCAAAGTAAATTTCTATTTAGCGCTCCTTGTTCGCTTCGCCTCATGTATTTAGCTGTTAAGCATGAACCCTGTAGTTGTTCTTGAAGTTTTTTTATCTTAGCAGGTTTACCTGGTTTCGGTCCATGTGATTTCTATATCATACAATGCCATTTTATAATTCTCACATTTGGCTTTGGCTTATTATATTTACTTATTAACCTAGTTTTATCTATAATAGATACCGTTCTTAATGTAAATCATTTATTTTCCTACATCAAATTGTGTGTTTTACCGAACTGTTCTATAACATATGGAAATGCCCCTTGTTCTGTACATTACTTTTTTTTTTCTTGATGTTGTCATTTAAATTCTAAGTTTATTTTTTAATGCGACAAGAGTTTTATATTGAACATATTAAAACATGTCATCTCTTGATGATGGAAGTTTTTTTTCCCCTCTTCTTAATCTTTCATATGATCTTTATTATAAACATTTCGGTGTTTGCTGCTTCTTTGGAAGGTTTACAAAGTAATTTTTTGTGGTTTTTCTTTATTTGCAGGCCATTATATTTGTTGATAATTCTGGGGCAGATATTGTTTTAGGCATATTGCCATTTGCGAGAGAGTTGCTTAAACGTGGTACACAGGTTATGTTCTCTTACCTTAAATTTGCACATTAAATAATTAGGTGAATCAGAGAATAGTTTCTCCTGTGAAAAATCTTCTGCAATTTCCGTTCTCCTCGTATATCTCTTTGTTGTTAGTTTTTTACTATAGACTTCTTAACCATAATGAGTATTTTAGTGCAATCCCTAAATCATATTCCACTTTTTTTTTTTTTTAATAACCAATTCAGGTCGTTCTTGCTGCTAATGACTTACCCTCAATCAATGATGTAACATATCCTGAGTTGGTAGAGATTATTTCAAAGGTGAATATAATTTTAATCCACATATGCAGCATTGCTGCACTCAAAATGCTTTTTATTCTGACAAGTCTTACTGCTCCATCATCAGCTGAAGGATGAAAAAGGTCAGCTTGTTGGTGTAGATGCATCTGGTCTCCTAGTTGCTAATTCTGGAAATGATTTGCCTGTAAGGACTTGAGTTTTCCACCAATTCTTCGTCTGATATTTCACATGGATCAAACAACAATCCTCTGAAATTTCAGGTTATTGATCTTGCAAATGTTTCACCAGAGCTGGCATATCTGGCGAGTGATGCTGACCTGGTTGTATTGGAGGGAATGGTATGTGGTCTCTGTTTGAATGATCACGCAGGTTAACAAATTAAGATTTAAGATTACACGTCCTATTTGTTGATAATGCTTTTTTCTTATATGTGCATTCTATTTAACGTAGGGACGATCAATAGAGACAAATCTGTATGCTCAAATGAAATGTGATTCAGTGAAGATTGGAATGGTAGTTATTGCAGTATTACTCATAGAATGAACAGCTCTTGGTTCTCTGACATTTTTTTTCTTAATTTTATTTGTTGCAAAAACTAAGCTCTAGCAAAAAAATTATTGTCATTACTATGCCCGGTAGCTTGGAATATTAAGGTGAGAATAGGTGATCAAATAAAAAATTAATTACTTCTATTTACTCTAAAAATTAAAGAATTATTAAAAAAATATTATTATGAGTAATTCAACATAAAAATACAACAATGCTACAATTGCTTGCCAATTCTTTAAATAATATAAATATCACTAACTTATTGTTCCAATTTTTTTATATAACAATATATTCTCCCATCATTTAATGCTCTAGATCGTTTAAAATAAATATTTGTTAATAATAATCATGATGAGATACATCTTATCACTAGGTTATAGAAATATAAAAAAAAATTATAAACAGTATTTATGCTTTTCAATACAGATAAATATGCATAAAAGTTTCCATTAAGTTTATTCTATTCAAAGATGATGATATAAGAGGGTTTCAAGCATTCATTAGTACAATACTAATATCAAGAAGGAAATCACATCATATCATATAAATTATATTTCTATAACAGGCATTGTCTATGATAAAACAAATTTTTCTATTCGTCTATTTTAACCTAGTCTAAAATCAATTATTAGTATTATAGATAAGTCAACTGACATAAAATATAATAAACTCCCCTGAAATCCATAAAATCATTTTATTTAAAACTATTTTCAACACCCAAATTAAAGTATCTTATTTTCTCATTTAATCGACGTTTTAAAAATCGGACCGGACCGGCCGGTTTAACCGGTTGAACCGGTACCCGGCCGGCCGGCATGTTTGTTTTAACACCAAAACTGGCAAAGCAAGGACCCGGATTTGAATTGGTCGGATCGCCGATCGGACCGTGAAACCGGCGAACCAGAAACCGGACTCAAACCGCCCCGTTAAACTTAGATGCATGTTCAGCCGTTTGGTTTCAATCGTGTGGTTTTTGAGAAATAACTAAATAAGTATGTGAAGTAAAACTGTAAAACCTAGCTTATTTTTCTCCCAAACCCGCGGCTCTCCTCCGCTCCTCCTCCTCCTTCGTCGCTGTAGCTCCTCTGTTGGTGCTTGGATTTGTCTGTGGCAACTGCAGAAGACAAAGAAGCATAGGAGATTTCGGCTCCAATAATAGTTCATCTCTTTAGTGTTCTAGATGTCCCCCTCTCTATTTTCTATGTTGAACATTTTTATTTTTTTTCCTAATATTTCAGCTCTTTTTTCATTTTTTGCATTAGTGATTTTCTGCTTGTATTCTTGTACATCTGCCTCATATTTGTTGTGATATTTTTGGATATATCTTTCCTTTGATCTGCTCTTATTTTAGTTATTTTTCTCAGTTTGGAGAATGAGATGCATTGAAGATATTTTTTTGGAACATGTGAGAGAGCACAATATGGTGGTTTTTCATCCCTTGATTGTTTTATTGTTTTCTCACCAAAGTTGATTTCTGGAGAAATGAGTGGTATTTTTCGCAATTGCTGTCATGTGGTCTATAGTCGGATTTGTCTGCTATTTTATAGAGATGAATAAAATAACTCGAAGGAAACAAGCGCTGATGTTCTGCTCCGACATCAGAAGCGTAGTTGCTAGCTCTAAAACCCTTCATCTTCTGTCATTGAGATTAATTAACTCCAGCATTGGTTATATGCATGTGGTGTTTAGAAATATCAGGTTAGAAAAGCTAGTTCATGGTAAGGAATCTGTTTTATTGCTGGATGCAAATTTTTTAAGTAGGAATCAGACATTGAAGCTATAGCAATTCACTATTGAAATGAAGGATTTGATGTATTTTGAAGAGGAAAATTTTGATATATTATTTGATTATTTTGATATGAAAATGAAATGTATATTGTATAGTGAATGTATTAGATGAAAAATTTTCTTTCATTTTATAATTTAAAAATATTAATATTTATTACGTCATCCGGTTCTACCTCGGATCGACCGGTCGAACCGGTCAAACAGTGAACCTCACCTTCTTCCAGTTTTTTGTTCGGTCCGGTTTTCAAAACCTTTCATTTAATTACTTAAATTGTATTCACACTTTTTCCAATCTTTTAATTATCGTTTTCTTCATCTAATTCTCATCATCTGTCTACCAAAATCATAAACAAATGACTTAAAAAATTTAACTATTTCTATAGTTTTCAATTGAACTCATAAAGGACACTAAAACAATTTAGTTAGTGTTAAGTTCTTAACTTGATTGGAAAAGACGAAGAAAACAAAAGATTTCATATTCTTTCTTTCTCATTTCATTACAAATACAAAACCATCACATGATCCCTTGGTTGGTCGACCATGCAGCTAAGATTTTTGTTGCTCAGTATGTTGTCCCTCATTGATTGTTTATTATGTGCTTTCCTCCTGTTACTCTTGCTCATCCTTTGATATTCTTTCATTCACACTTGCCCACTCTCAATATCCCTTGATTTCCCTCTTGAGTCAGTCTTATTCACAGTCTTTCTCTTACTTAATCTCACTTCCTTTCTCTCTTGCTATTTATGTATCCCATCTTGACCCCTTCTCACACCACTCTTTATTAGACATATTGGATGAACAAGCAAGTAGAATATGCTTGAAAATGTAAAGTCGAGAGTAGAGTTAAAGGAGGAGAGAGACAAAATCAAGAAAAAATATTTAAAAAAACGTTAAAGGTCTCAAACTGGTAGAGTTTCTAATATATCATTTAAGAACTATAAGTGTTAAACATTATCCAAACTATTCATCAGCACCCCTTATTAGTAGAGTTCTGTGGGCTACAAAAAATTGCTAGATAGAGAAAAAAGTATAAAATACATGGCTACACATATAACATATACAATGCTACACACTATACTATTGATGGGTTAATTTGCAAAGGTCTTCCCACCCTAAGGGGCTATCTCATTGGAGGAGGTCATTGGGTGGCTTTTAGTTGTGGAATAAATGTTAAACCTCCATTGTGTGGGCATGCATAATAGCTTACAAGGGGCTCCAAATGAGGTTGTCGAGTTTAAAAAGGAGTCGACTAAATTAAAGATGGGTATTGCTAAGATTACGGGGAAATATAGCAAGATAAGGACCCTAGTTGGCTCTATGAGATTGGATTTCATGGTGGCCCTTCCCTTGATGAAGTGGATCTACTTCATGAATGGTGACAAGTTCAAGTAGAAGTACCTGGAAGGTGTAGGGGGGTTAAGTTATGTTTCACCATGGCAGTGATTAACCTCAAGCCACTTAATATATTTTTTATTTTTTCTTTTTTTTTATATGTGTGTTTGTGTGCACACATGGGCTATTTTAAGGATGTTTTGTGTGTGTGTTTGGATTTTTACAACATTGCAGTGTAGTACTAGCCAAAATGAGAAGCCACTCCAACTTAAACAAAAGACATGCTTGTTCAACCATTAATTGTGCTAGGTTAGCACAACTCCACAATAGAGTAAACCCAATAGTAATGAGGTCCTAGTTGATCTTATAATACCATAGCACCAATACTTTGAGCATCAAAGTGCTTGAGGCCATTTCTGCATTTATTATAAATAGTTTTTCAATTCTTTTGTTATAGAGTTCTATCATTTTTATTGGAGTCTTATATTTTTTATTGTCTTTCTTTAGTTATCCTTAGAGTACAGTCTAGAGGAGGCTAAGGAAGGACAAGATACTTTTAGTTGGAGATCTTAGCCTATATTGTGTAAGCAATTATGTTGTTAGAGGAAGAAAGAGTGTAGAGAATATCAATTAATCCTTATGGGTGACATTTATCATTATTAATTCTCTTGTAGCCTTTTCTTATATTAATGAAATGAATATGAGTTTGATTTTTTGTGTTTTCCATATCTAATTAAATCTTTGAGTTTTGGGCTAATGATAAAAAAATATAGCAAGTACTAATATAAACTCTTGGGCCTTGAAATAGTTTATAGATATTTTTAATAACTCCCATTCTTAATTTAATATATAGAATGGCCATGTGGTAGTTAATATATAGTGTGATATATTATCTTGATGGTGAAATATTGGAGCAAATAAGAGTATTGAAATTGAATTTTGGTATAACTAGACATAGGATGTCAAACCTTCTTCATTTTATGGAGCTATTGTAATTGTAGGAAGGCCATAAACTTCTCTTTTAACCCCTACAAGCTTTGCATAGATCTAAAGATCCACATGCTTTGATCCACATCTAAAATTAAGAGTCTCATTAAGAAAACTATATTATTTTACATTTATTACTCTCAAACATATTATTTATTTTAGTATCTATTTTTCTTGAAAGTCTCCATTAAGTGGAAAAAACACAAAATAATTGCTTTTCATTCAGTTGGATAAATCATGCATCCATACTAAACATTGGTAGTTTAATTATACTTAAGTAGAACACTTTATTTAGAATTTACATTATTCTCAATCACTTTATTACCTGATTGACATATATACTTGTGTATCTTACGGGCTTTCATTATTTTTATATCAAAGACAACCTTAACATATGAAAGCCCACCATAAATAAAACCTATCCATGACAGTTGATTGACACGTACACTCTAGCTCTTTAGCCCGAGCTTCCAATCAGCTCCATCAGTACCTCATTTGAAGATTTGTACAAACTTTCTAATGAACAAAGATTTTCAAATTAACATATCATCGGATTCAATCAATCATCAATTAACATGTATCATGCATTGAGAAATACAAGCTTTCAAATCAAAACATTGTTGGTAACTCCTACTAATACACTTCATTGGCATACTCTAGTTAAAATTTTAGGAGAGCTGCTACTACAACATAAGAGGTGGAAGCTCCCAATAGAGGAATGAATGGAGTAACTTCATGCTACTGTATCTGAATATAAAGTAGACTAGATGAAGAGAGAACCACAAACTCTCCTAGCTGATTGGACTTCACGATCTCCCACTCGACCAGTTTAACTCCCCATATTTCCTCTAGTTGATAAATGACAGCTCCAGTTGCTAGGAAGATGAGCTGCTTGGTTCGTTTGTTAGAGAGACTTCAAGGTAGAGAAGGAACAT